ATTTAAAATGACAACTTTTTCACAAAAAATTAACTTTTTCAACTTAACTTTTGAAAATGTTCCGGAAGGTCTGACACTTTTATATATATCTTAAATTAAAACTAATGTAATATACTTTCATTTGAAAAAAAAAAATTTGACCTCTGGACTTGTCATCACGGCGAAAATGGCTACTGAATGCTATTTTCGTGTTAAAATTCTCGATTTTATTATTTATATTATATTTAACTTTATAATGCTATAACTTATTGAAAAGTTTATGGATCCACACAATTTTTTTATGAGAAATAATATTTTTTAATAAACCCTTTTTCATTCGACATACTTTATCTTAATCGAGATATTAATGAGGAACCAGCAGATCAAGTAGCTTTTGGAATAAAACACCAATTTTTTTAAAATTTAAAGATTTGCATCGAAGCGTTTATATTTGATAGTGATTTTAATCACTGTCAGTTATCATTATACTTGATCCATCTATGCCACGTCACCACTGTGCCGCGATCTTCTGTGTGCTGGGTTTTTGTTTTTTTTTTTTGTTTTTATTAACACTGATCAATGTCTATTAAGGACATCGAGGTTGGTGTCTGGGTAACGATTTTTTTTTTTGAAGAAACGAGTATAGGTAATTAGTATATTTTGTATATTATTTAACTCTTGTATTAGAAATAAATGATTAATGTGAATATTAAAATAATATATTCAGATAATGCAAATACGCACAAAAGCTACTATTTAAAAACAAGCAACCTAAATACATATAAAACTAACAGTTTTTATTCAAATGTAAAATAAAACTTCTGATGTGATAACAATTTTGAACTCAGTATCATGTCAATGAATGATTGGTTTTAAAATGTAACTCTTTAAACCTCCAAAGTTGATTTGAAAAAAAAAATTCAATAATGAATGATTCACTTCAGAATATAAGGAAAGAAAATTTCAAAAAAATAATCAACTTATTCATTAAAGACATAATGCTAAATTTAGGTCTCTTTTTATAACTTCTATTGCATCAGTAGATTTATTGTAATGTTATGATAAAAAACGAAATGTGTAAACTAATAAATTATGAGTATCAAAATTTTTAATAAAGTTGAAAAAGCTACGATATCGACTTTAAACGAAAATATCAATATCGTTCATAAACCTTAATTTAAATATTGTTACAGATTGGATTGATGAGGCATGGTATTATTATGGAAGAAGCCCCCCCTAAAAGTTTTTTAATTAAGTACAATACAGATTTTTTGGAAGACGCCTTTTTAGAAATGTGCAATAATCCTACAGTTTTTTATGTAAGTGTTGATAAAATAAAACAGACATTTAACTCATAGTACTTATAAACTGATGGGACCGATAAGAACATTTATCTAAACGAAGTTCAGTTTTCATTCAATGTCCATCAATACATGTATTTATATTATAAGATTAATAAATTAATATATAAGATTAATATAATATATTTTAATGATTATTCACTATAAATAATAATTTTGTGAATATTATCAAGTCTACCAGAGTTGTTCAAAGCAAATATTAAATCATGACATTTTAGTAGTTGACTTACCCTAAATTTCACTTCAGATTACTTAAATAATTTTAAAGTATGCATTGGGTTGTTGCGTGATCTCCAAATATTGTATTTGAAAAACTAAATAAATAACACAACAAAATTTTCAGTTTTGAATTCAAATTGTATTCAATAATAAATGACATTGTAAATATCAATACTCTATTATTTTATCATTGTACTAATAATTATATAAAGATTAAGTTAAATATATTATTTTTGTGATCAAATTTTTAATTATACTAAAAACAATATTTCTATTATTTAGGAAGGTAGATCCAGTAGTATTTCCGATTGCTTAAAAAAAAAACATAATTTTTTTGAGAAGACTGATAGAAGAAACAGCTACTTATCCTCACACAGAATTAAAGCTTTATTGCAAAAGAATTTTTTAGTATCTTGTAGAGATTTTATGTATGTTATAATTTAGAAACTTATAAATATAATGTGAGAATGCATATCTCAAATATGTTTTAAAATCATTTAGGTACTTTTTTTTTGTATACTTATTGCCAATAGTACAAGTTATACTTTTAAACACCACGATTGGTAATAAACTAGAGTTCATCAATATAGCTGTATCAAATAAAGAAACAAATCTTACACGCTGTAGTAACTTTAACGTAAGCAGTTGTTTGTATGATAACTACATTAATGAAACCTTAAGTTGTGATTTTGTAAACAGCTTAAAAGATCTCGAGTATAATATTGTAAGTATTTTGTATCATTTTTTATAAATGATTACTTGTCAAATTCAACTATTATAACTTTTTAACTCGAATAATAATTAACTTATAATTTATATTATAAATATTATAATATATTTCTTAAATATATTTAAGGAATATGTTAATGATTTCAATGAGGGAATAATGGCTGTTGATAATGGATGGGTAGATGCATTTATTTATTTTCCAAATAATTATTCAAAAGGTATGCATCAGTATATTGAACAAGATGAACAATTTTCACTTGATTCAGTTTCTTTTATTCATGTCGGCAATCGAGGTAAAATTATATCATTTTCTATAAATTTTAACTTAATAGTTAAGAAAGGAAATAAATGGTATCACTTTTTAATAACAAATAATAGAAATTTAAGCTTCGATGAGAAGCTGAAAAAGTTGATTGGTTTTACTATGATGTGTTTTTTCTATTTTTTTTATGTCTGTTACCACTTTTTCTTAGCTCTCATTGAAACGATTTCTTTCAACAATAAGTCCAAAGATCATAAATCGTATCTATTCAAAGATATTACCCTTAAAAATTGAAAAAATTTCACTCGTTTTCCGTAAATAGGAGAAACCTCCAAAAAAATTACAAATTTAAAAATCGTTAATCTTTGAAATTTTTTTTACTTAAAACTGTCATAACTTTTTTAAAAACAAACAAATCATTAAATTATTTTTTATAAAGGCTTGATGTTTTTACCTATCATTTAGTATATTTTTTTTTATAAATCTGACCCTTTACCTGTCCACAGGGGGGATTTAAAATGACAACTTTTTCAACTTAAATTTTAAAAGTATTTATAATAGTGATTTTAATCACTGTCAGATATCATCTATACTGGACCAACTATGCCACGTCTCCTGTGTCGCCACCCCACTGTGCTGGGTTTTTAACTTTATTATGCTATAACTATTTGAAAAATGTATGGATCTATACAATATTTTTATGAAAAGTAATATTTATATACATCTTTCATTGGACATACTTTTTTTTTTAATTCTGACCTTTTCTCTAATATGGTGGGGTGGTTCAAATCTAAAAAATGCATATAGACAGTAGAACTTTTTCAACTGAACTTTTGAGAGTGTTCCGGAAAGTCTGTCACTTTTATATATATCTTAAATTAAAGATAATGTAATATACTTTATTATGGAAAAACAATTTTTGGACTATATTTTGTCATCACGGTGGAAATGGCTACCAAATGCTATTTTTGTATGAAAACTCTCGATTTTATATTTTACATTTTTTTACTTTAAAATGCTATAACTTTTTTAAAAGTGTATGGATCAATACAATTTTTTTATGAGAAATAAAAATTATACCCCTCTTTCATTCGGCATACAAAATCTTAATCAGGATATAAATAAGGAGATAGCAGATCATGTAGCTTTTGGAATAATGCACCAATTGTTTAAATTAAATATTATCTACAGATTTGCATGGAATTGTTTTTTATGATAGTGTCATTTCAATCACTGTCAGATATCATTAAACTTGTCCAAACTATGCCACGTCACCACTGTAGCGCGCTCCACTTTGCTGGGTTTTTTTTATTGATAATTTATTGTTATTTTATTTAATTAAAATTGAAAACATATTCTTTAAGCAGTCTTAGATTTTTTTACTTTTTTATATAATACGCAATTTTATAAAAAATTTTAATGAATATATAATGAATTCTTAGATTTTATAACTAAACAACAAGTAATTATGGATTTAAATAAAGCAACAAATAACGTTTTGTTAAATACAATAAGTCACTGCTATTCTACAAAAAACGTATTAAATGTTCCTATGGTAAGTAGGTAATTTTTATATAGTAATCTCTATTTTTTATGTACGGTTTAGTTTGAAGTTAAAAGTTTAAAATAACAGCTATTGTAAAAAAATTTTAACCGAATTTATTATTGAAAATACTTTGAGTCTAAAATTAAATTAGTTATGATTTGTTTTTTACAGAAATTACAGAAAGAATATGGTGCTAAAATAAATCTTCGCAGACATGGGACTATAGGAAAAGATTTAATTTTGTAAGTGTTCAATTTATTAATGTATGCGCATGCTTATTTTATTCCGGATTCAACTTTTAATTTTACCTCATTTTCAATGAATTTTCATCCAATTTTAAGGTATTGGGTTTAACCTAAAAAAATCAAAATTTCACTTTTATATTTTTATTTTTATTTAGCTGGACTGTTTTCTTATGTGAAAGTGTTCAAGTCTGTGACAAGTAGCTCCTTAATATTAAAGGGGGATTGCCTATTACTGTGCGGTAGTGTTGTTTATTCGTAGAAAGCAAAAATAAAGAAAATAAGAGGGGATAAGAAAATAGGTACACCTGCTTATGAATGTACAAAATACGAATTATATATTTATTGTTCTGCAAAATAAAACTCTTAATAAATAAAGGAAAGGGGGTAACTTAAATACTACAATGACTGACAAGTCGGCAATGAACAAAACAGAAAATATATAAAATAAATAAAACAAACAATAAAAAAACTTAGCTGTATAATTTAAGATAATGGCGGTGAGAGTGGACTGTATGTGTGCGTTGATATAATGACGACGTAACGATGCCAATAGCCCGTGATATGAGAGAAGGGTCGTTTTACACGGATAGAAAAGTACAAACCATGTGCACAAATGACCTCGCACGTCTGGATATTACAAGTCCAGAAAAAACGCAATAAAGTGTGCAAAATAACAGTAAAATTTAGCCAACTATGGCCGATCAATAGCACAAACACTCAGATGCGATTGCTGTGTATACGAGAGAAGAAAACGCACTATGTATTTGTTGAGGAACGATTATGAAATCTTAGAGGCGCGAAACGAGTGTACTGTATATGTACAAAAAAAGGCTATGACGCTCGCTGAAGAAGGGACGACGGCCGAACGTGGCATGAACTCGTCCAAACCGATCATACACAAACGCCATACTTTACCCAGCAAAGTCAAAAATTCTTATTTTTGACTTGATCTAAAGTACAAAATATTTTTACCCATTGATAAATGTGTCTCTTTTAATTTAAAAAACAATAAAATAGTTACTAAATTTCTTATGGAAATCACATTTATACCACAGTGCAAATTTATAATAAAATTTGTGCTTAAAAATAAATTTTATTTACGCAAAAATAATATGTGTTTTAGTAATATTATGAAGATTTATATGTATTTTACAGATTGACATTCTATTTCTCTAGCGCTTGTTCAGCTAGTTTTATGCTCTTAGAAAAATTAGATGGTTTACTAAGTAGATCAATGGTTGCAGGTTTGGAAATACATAATTATTTGAAATTAGTCTTATGAAATAACTTTTTCTGACAAAATATACAATAATTTTATTTAATTTCAGGAGTTACTCTTTTAGAAGTCATGATTGCATTGCTAATCATTCAATCTTTTGGATTTTTTTTACAAAACATTATTATGGTACTTATATCGTACGTTTGTTATGATAATCCCTATGAAATATCAAGTGGACTATATTTGGTATTTTTCGTTTTTATAATTACATCATGGAATGGTTTTATTTATGGTAAATTATTGTAACTGTATACAACACAGAACAACAATAACGAAAATTCTTCTCTGTCTACAATATTTACTTAAAATTCTATATGTGTAGAATTTATTTGTTGATTCGTAATCTGACTTCAGACTTTTTCAATCACATTTATTTTTTAAGACAATTATTTAATATTTTGAAAAGAAATACAATTAATTAAATAACTAAATAACCTAAGTGTCAAACGCCAAATATAATTACACTATTATTCTAAATGTCAAAAATACGTAAGGTTGTTAAGTTTTTTTATACTCCTTAACACTGTACTACAAAAATTTTGAAATTTTTATAATTTTTTAGCTTTTTGTATATTTTTTTCATAATTGCGATTTCGCCGATTATTTGTCATGAAATAAACAACAAGTTGTGTTTTTGGGTTCCTCAAAAAATTATATATTCATTAGTAATTATTTCATGATTATAAGATTAACCTAAATATAGTTACAGTTCAGATATATAAATATTTTTTTTAAATACTTCCATAAAACTTAAATTTTAAGATCTATAAAAACGATTAAACTTGACGGATAAACCACGAATATTGCTCAACGCTTTTTTAACATTATCAAATTATATTTAAAAAAAACCCAGCACAGGGGGGTCGCGGCACAGTGGTGACGTGGTATAGATGGATCAAGTATAATGATATCTGACAGTGATTAAAATCACTATCAAAAAAAAACGCTTCGATGCAAATNAGTTGAAAAAGTTCTACTTTCTATACGCATTTTAAAAGGTTTGCACCCCCCCTGTATAAAGGGAAATGGTCCGATTTTAAAAAAAAGTATGTCGAATGAAAGAAGTATATATAAAGTATTTATCATTAAAGAATAAAGTTGATTCATGCATTTTTTAAAAAGTTATAGCAACATAATGTTAAAAAATGTAAAATATAATATCAAGAATTTTAACACAAAAATAGCATATTTTTGCATACGGTAGTCATTTTCACCATGAAGACAAGTCCAGAGGTCAAATTTTTTTTTTTCAAATTAAAGTATATTACATAAGCTTCAATTTAAGATATATATAAAAGTGTCAGACCTTCCGGAACACTTTCAAAAGTTAAGTTGAAAAAGTTCNTGAATCCCCCCCTGTAGGCAGGTAAAAAGTCAGATTTATAAAAAAAATATACCAAATGATAGGTAAAGACATCATGCATCTATAAAAAAAAGAATTATATTGATCCATACATCTTTCGAGAAGTTATAGCATTATAAAGTTAAAAATATAAAAAAGAATTTTTTTACAAAAATCGTATTTTTTTTATTAGGTTTAATGTCTGTTTTCACCATGAAGATAATATAAAGTCCGAAATTTTTTTTTACCATTATAAAGTATATTACATTAGCTTTAATTTAAGATATATATAAAAGTGTCAGACCTTCCG